GCAGCCGGCAACCAATCACAGTGCGCCACTATGGCAGCTTCATTTTATACATGCTGCGCCGCCTACATCCTCCTTTTCCTTAGCGGTAACTTTAGAGTGAAATTGGAAACGTCCGGTTGCTGAGGTTTATACGGGTTGCCATGTGTGCATTTCTTACCGATCCCGCGCGATCTCCTTCTGGATAAAAAGTCTGCACGTCTAATATGGTTGTTGGTCATCCTCTCAAAAGCAGGAATTGCCTTTTTTATAGCTCGCCTTTAATAGAGTAAAACAAATATTCAGCATAGACACAAGTTCTGCCTTTTTTATACATATAAGAGCGCCGCGTTCCCCCTCCGAAAAGGCCGCTCTTGCTAGCGTCATTATTCTTTCGGCTGGTTGCTTTTTTATATATTAAAAAGAATATCCAGCGTGGACACAATGTCTTTTTTTGATATATATATTTCAGAACACTGTGTCTCCTATCCTAAAAAAGCGCATCTGTTAGCCGTATTGTGGAAAAATTCAGGGAGCTAGAGAATCGCCTTTCGACAGAGGGCCTTTTTTGATATATTAAAACGAAGAGTCAGCGCAGAAGAGATGTTTTCTCGATTTTTTTTTCTTAAAGCCCCAATTACCACCATATTCGGATTACAAGCGGCTTTGCGCAGATTATCCTTTTCAGCCGACTGACTGAATGAAAATTGGTCAAGCATAAGGGTCCTTTTGCTGCTAGGTGACTCATTCTACGAGCAGGAGATGTGTTCGGAATGTGTAAATAGCACCGCGAATTAACAGGAAGGCTCTTTGCCTACAAGAGTCTACGCAGCCCCGTTAACAGCGGGTATGAAACCCGGAATTGGCGACTGCCAACACGCATTTATGCACCGGGTATATATGGTAGACTGATTGTTACAGGTTTTCCGGTAGCTCTCCTTCAGCCTTCGAAATAGCCCCGGAAAATAACATTCTTTTTCCCAGGTAATACTTCTTCGCGTACACTGCCCCCAACAGAAAAATTGTTTTTCTGAAGCAAACAGCTGGTCGCTTTTTCCCTTCATCTATCTCGTAATTATCTGCTACCTCCGCCGTGGCCGACCGGACGGACGGAAACCGAAAGAACGGAACAGAGGACGCAGGACCGAGAGTTCGACTGTCGCTTACGAGCCTCAGCAAGTTGAAGTCAGACCCGGTGACTTCCGCTGGACTCGCGCAGGGTCCACCCCACTCTCGCTCTCTCTCAACACTCCCACACCGGACCCCATGTCAAGACAAAAGTCAAGAAGACGGGAGGGGATGGAGAGGGCGCAGACGGCTGGCGCGACCAATACTCAATACGCGTACCAACAGTACACCCTGCTTGATAGACTCTAACGTGTGTGGGAGCGCCGCAAAGACCACATTACGAAGGAGCCATTGCAGCCCGCAGTTAGCCACTCCACACAACAAGAGACACACTGGGCTGACTGCAGCATCCAAGTTACCCCGTCAGTTGGCAACCCTCAAAGGCACGGCTTCCAGCGCACTGTTATTGTTTCAAGTGCAATAGGTTGTTTATAGTGAGGAAAGAAGTGCGCTGAGGGCCAACTTCACTGCAACTGAACCAAGCGGTTCAGGCAACACACTTGACTTTACCCATCAGGCGAAATCTTCCCCTCGCATTGTGTTCACGTTTCGGCTCTGTGTGCCAAAAAGTTAGCTCTGCAACTATTTTATGGGGACTAAATAAGCTTCCGCAAGCGTATTACATTGCCTTATACAGATGTTTATTGGTTGACCAACGAATGGGTTCCTTTTGTCGGTCTGAATTAAAACAGAGGGGTTGAATAATAGAATTCTCTACAAGAACCCTCGTCCAAGTCTTTTCCAGACAGGTACAATTTGCTCTGCACCCTCTGATTTCGGTTTAATTTTAGTCCACTAGGAGCAAAACTGCAATTCTGAAACACCAAATGTCAAATAAAGTAGGTAATAATATCGTTATTTACTTTTGGATTTTATCCGATAATGAGTCCTTTTGACTGGTAAGGCTATGCAGGTTCAGACATTCTTGACCATCCATCAATTTTGAACAGTTTGATTTCACTTTTGTTCTCGCATGCCTAGCTGATGACGAGAAAGCAGTTTCTATGTACGCAGTCGCGTACAACCTTTCATTTTCCTACATGCAAAAGAGACTACTTTAAAAAAGCAGGTTTTACCTAAGCTCTACAGATTCAAACATAATAATTTATTATAGTAAGTAATAAACTGTACATTATTAGAATAGTATGAGATCTGTCAACTCACCTTGAGCATAAGAAGCACCTTTGTTTGAATTTGAATCGGTGCATCATACTTTGGAAGAAGAAGCTTTATGAGGTCACGCAGGAAGTCCCGGTTGGCAACCTGAGCCTGAAAACGTTTACCACAGTTCTTCACACAGGCTTCTATCAGGAGGAGGGTATACCATACGCTCAGATGGTCCTTGCCCGCGGACGAAGTAAGGCGTTTTCGAATGGCCCGAATAGCATCTTTTGGTCTGCGAAATCGGGTGTGAACATGAAAGCCGTTCGGACTTACCCATCGTCGGTCTCACAGAGGGCGTCACAAATCTCGAGAATAAGGGCCCAGTCGATGCAGGGTTTGCCGCTGTCTGTTGCGCGTTCTAGGAAGCAAAAAAATATGAAAATAAGAGTTAAATCTAAATAATAAGGACTTCGGTTTGAAGCCGAGACGTCAGGAGAATAAAACCAGTTCCAGCGGTCGGATTTCATTTCTACTAACTTCTTCCCAGAAATCGCATTTTTGCTTGTATGGGCAAGAACGTAGGTATCATTCTGGGAGTTTAAAATCTGTGCAATGATTTCAAAATGTAACCTTAGTATTTCAAGGGGTTTGCACGGATTTAAATAAAACCCGCTATACATAAGGACCGAAATGGCAAAAGCCATTTCCGTGTAATTTCAAAATAGTTAACTATTGGTTATTTGCTAACAAAGTTTAGCAATCGCAGGAGCGTTACTGAAAATAATTTTGCATAAACGGGTCGCAAAGCTATGCCATAAAGGGATTTGGATTGTTCTACGATGGAAATTTGCGCTCAGAAAGCTTCTCGCGTATTCCTTAACAATATTAGCAAGTGAATTGAAAAACCATCTGCCATAATTTTGAAAATCGTTCTGATGATTGGCTTTTCGAGCAGACCAGAAACATTGCATGAAAGAAACAGATTGAACTACGGCTTACTAACAAAATTTTTTTTAAATTCTACTTTTCATAAAAAAGCGATTGACCAGAACATTCATTTTCCGACCGCATTAGAATACTGGTTTTGAACAAGCATAGATCGGTTCCGATACGGAATAACTCTTTCGACTCGGTAATACTTTTTCTTTTAAGTATTCGAAATTTGCCGGCAAGCAATACCAGTATCAGTATATTGAGGGATATGTAGGTAAAATTTCTTTGAGTTCCCTATTTGTACATATGTGTAGTGGTAGCAGAAAAATTGTATCTCAGACTGTTGGCGAGGCCAGTTGTCCTGAGTCATGGGGTGGAAAAGTAGGTGTTTGCATCTACCTCAGAGTGTTAAAAAGTTGGAGGTAGTGTTTTACCATACGTTTTTTTTGTGTGCTTGCGCAAGAAGGACTTGTAAAAAATGTAGATTTTTCATCTAAAAATATACTATACTCTTGATACGCTTTCAGGAATCGTTAAAGTCACAACCATCAAAGCTAAACATAATAACTCCTAGCTGTTTGAAACGAAGTCAAAAACCATTGTAAAAGGTTGAGAGCAATCGTCATTGCTACCTTTTTTCCATCACGCATCCTTTCGATACTTGTCAAGAGAGATTTAGCCTGTTCCCATATCGAAGATCTGCTGGTAACAGGTTTTGGCTGCACACATTTCTATCACGTTTGTCTTAGTGATCTTGATTATAATTTTACAAATAGATCTTTCTTCTGCAAGTTTTTGAATGAGAATAGGATGCGTGAAGTAATGTGTTATGGTGAACTTATTTTTCGATCGATATGGAGCAGATACAGCTCGTTACTGAGGACGAAAGTAGGTGAGGATATGTAGAATCTGTTACTTGAAGGGTCAGGTACGAGGCGCCTGAAGGTATGAACTAACGTAATATATTTTTATGCTCTAAGTTTTAAATCTCAAATCGTAAAAATACCTCCAGGGGGCATGCGCTTATATTTGGGGATGTGAGCAGGTTCACTTTCAATGCCTATATTTAAGAAAAGTGCTAGTAATAGACGTTTTAACGCAGGAATGAAAAGAGTTGGTATGTCGGAAAACTCAATGAGGTTTTTGAATGAAAAATTTGTGAAATTTGTGAATGACTAAAACTCGCAGAACAAAAACCGCATTAATTTTATTTCTCGTGCGTTACAATGAGTTAATCTGCTCCAAAATATCACGAAATTATACTCCGATAAAATACTTTCAGCATCATTATCTGCGTGTAGTAAGGAAGTTAGTCAGATCGCACACCTAAAAGACTTCGCTTGAGGCTGTATGTACGGCCTTTATTAAAGTCTCAAAGATGGACAGTTTTTAGCACATTAACAAAGTGATATGTCATCATATGTATGCAGAACCTAGACATTATCTGTGGAGAACAAAAACTGCGATGCTTTTCAGCGAGAAACTTGGTTATATCTCATAACACAGATCGGAGGACTCAATAACGCAAATTTATCCGCTACTAAAGTGACACTGTAAAATCGTATACTTCTAAAAAGAGAACCGTCACTCCAAAGCTTAGTTTGTTTTAAATCCTAACAGTAAAGCAATATAAATGAGACAAAACAGGAAATCTGAATCAGAGAATTCAAATCAGGAATTAAAGCAGTAAATGGATTCGTCGAAAGAGACTAACGTTGAATATACATCAATCAAAAAGATTTCAATATTTTTTAAATTTCAAACTTTTTTGACTAAAATTTGGCTTGCTGGAGGTTTATAACAGACAATCGTTCTTCAGGTGATTCCAAAAAATTAGTTCCCCTATGCGAATGACAGTTGTCATCTAAAGTTCGTTTCCATTGAGATGGGTTTAATTAAGTAACCGGGGAATGAATGGGATCACGTCGATGCTCGTTTATAAAAGGGCTGGGTGCAACGTAGGATAAATATTGTGATCGAACATTGAGCAATATCTGACAAAGTTGTAAACAAATCTCAAAAACAAAGCTGCAATAACATGTTATTCGTAGCTTTTTATGGTTTTCAGGCAAAAGTTCTGGAATATCGCCTTAAAAAATGCTAATTATCTTTGCAAGGAAGGGTTCCTTATACATGTACAGACTTAAAGAAACTATATGATAAAGAAAATAATGGTCGCAGGAAATAATTTTATTCAAAAGCTGGAGTCTGAAATTTTTAATCTTTAATCGTAGGTTTGCATTTTTAGGTTCACTTACCAATTAATATGCCAACTGTTGTTGAATAAGGGTGCGTGTGGAACAGATTCTGCATTTGGGTAAACAACACCCTCCCTCAAGGCCGAATTTGAAAACTGTCACATTACGTTAATCTAAATTGGTGGGATAAAACAAATGATAACTATTCGCTATATTCTTTAATATTTTTTATAAATTGACTTTTGTTGGCATTCATATGCAAGGCAATAACGCTATTATTAAGTCGCTTGACCTTCCTTTCTAGAAGACAGTCGGAAAATCTGGAAATAGTCGAATAAACATTGTACGTTAACGAGCAGGTACGTGTGGCATGCTATCGATATGAGATGCAAATTAGGGAAATAAGTAAAAGCTGTTTTTTTACTTCGGCGGAATCACAAAATAGCACAACCCAATGGGAAAAATATACTGCTTTCTAGAAAAATAAGCGACATTGACAAATCACACAAACAAAATATTTTACACTTAGTCTCTACGGCGGCTCCCCTGGTATCCACGTTCATATGCACCACCGACAAAGTCTACGGAGAATGGAGTGGCTATTATTTGCTTATTAGCCATCATCTTCTAGCTATGCTCAACCCAGTGTGATGCCCAACACGAGATTCGAACACGCGCACATGTCAGTTAAATATCCTACCCTCTAATCACATATACACACATACACCACTTCAGTAATCACCTATTTCCCGTGTTTTCTAGACCAAAGAAATGTGTTGATAAGGAAAATAAACTGACGCTAAGAGTTTGAGCAAATCGATAATAAAAAGTATCACTTTATATATACTCATGCCTATGACTATAGATAATGATAGTATTAACCCTTTTGAAATATATATATATTCGCTCAGAAATGTGCGAACACCGATCATATGGGCTTTCGAACTAAACAAAGTTC